GGAGTGCACTGACAGAGGTGAGGCTGCCAACCACAGGCGCCACTGGTCCGTCCGACCACCACCAGCAGGCAAAAGGGGGCTAAGTGTCTTGCCCAAGGACACGACAGAGGCAGACTGAGCGAGGCTCGAACCTGCAACCTTCCGATTGAGGGGCGAGCGCTCAACTCCTGTCTGTGCCACCGTAACCCCACAACAAAACCAGCAGCAAAGAGTAGAAACCTGGAGCTGACTCACCTGTTTGTGCATTTCAATGTTAAGGCCGTAGGACATCTCATAATACTGAAAAGATGGAGAGAATCAGTTAATTAGCACAATCTTACGGTTTGTTTTCATAATTATTTCTGTTCGTATGTATTTAAAACATCCCGATTAAAAGCACCTCAGACAGATGTCCACTTCCTGGGAAATAGAGTAGGGCAAAGAGCTCACAGGTAGGAGGGAGAACAAACACTGATGTCATGGATTATTTCCAGAGCCACAGATTTAGATTTGAATCCAGTAAACTCCGACTCTGCTGCTGCTTACAGAACTTCAGTCACAAATATCTAAATGACAATCTATAAAATCATCATAACTGCCTCACAAGGACATAGCAGCAAAGTGGATTTTAATAACAAGTATTTATAAGATTTCTTGTGAGACTCTTGAAGGAGAAACAATCTCATCAGTTCCTCTTGACCATAAGGAAATTTTCACCTACAACACAAATCGATCACTGCTTCTTCACACCCCCCCCACCCCCACCCCAGAACCCTCAGAACCTTTTACTGCCAGTGTCACACAATGGGAGCCCAATTACGTGACGTGTTGAGGAACACTGAAGTGCTTCGTGTCGTGAAAGCACATCTCCACTAATTTCATCTCGACTCTGCTGAAAATCAGCTGCGCGAAATTGAGTCTGGGGCGTGAGTCGGAAGCCAGAAAAACCCCAAAGTGATGCAGGGAAATGGTGACTGGATGGACTGCGGCAATAATCACGTCTAATGTGAGCTATTTGACCACGGCTTTTATCTTAAAGTACAAGGAGAAACGGGGGAGGAGCTGAACGCCACAGACACAGCCAAAGATCCCTCACTTACCCCTCCACAGAGGAGCGCGAAAGAAGAACATTTTAAAGTCTGATGCCTGGAAAAGTGACAGGCTGACATTTGCTTTTCAGTGAAGCTGGTAGTGGAGCGTGGAGATTGGCAGTTGGGCAGCCAGAACAGGCTGGCAGGTTGGGAGAAGAGATGGCAGGGGGTCCTCTGTCTCCAGACATCTTTCCTGGCAGTTAGCATGCATATGTGTATGAGCGCAGGTGTGTGTGTGTGTTTATAGTTACAAATGTGTAGGCGTATGCATCTATGTGAGTATGTGTGTGTGTGTGTGCTTTACAGAGCCATGTGCATGCACGCTCCTGTCTGTGTGTGTTTGCCTCTAAGCCTCCATAAAAGATGCCTTTCCTGGCAGTGCTGCTTAGCAGTTCTTTGCCAAGTTTTTTGCCTGTTGCTTAGCAACATCCAAACCACCCCAAATCATCAGCCAGCAGAAGAGACCTGGCCTGTGTTCGACGCCAGCGAGCATCTCCTCCCCCTCACAATCCCCAACTCTGAGCCAAGATTGCCACATAGCTCTTTTTTGGAACAGCAGGTTCTGGGCGGCCGGCTCTCTGTCAGCTGTGGTGAGTTCTGGCTCTGATCGCAGGTACGCCAGACTTAAAATAAAAAAATAAAGGAGTTTGGGACCTTTTGTTTACCTAGAAAATTATCTGTGTGTGTCCATGAAGTTCTGCACTGGCTGGTGAAATTGGAATTTTGTTTTTATTACTAATAAAATGATTGGACCAAACTGGTAAATACGCTAATGATTTTAGATTTGCTGGAATAATAAATCAGCAAAGATAATTAAATTATAAGATAACTGACTCTGGATGCTTGTAACGGGAGAATGACATTTTATTTTTCCAGTTTTTACAAAGTAAAGCCAAATTCTTTACACGTTAGAGGAAATTTGGACACAATCACCCTGAAAGGAAGATTTCCTTTGGGAAGATGATGAAATTTTGATTTGTGTTTGCGCTCCATAGGAGGCCCGTGTATGTTGGAGTGCTTGTGTGGTCCTGAGAGTGATTTTTTTTTGTGGGTGTTGTTTGGCAGCTGTTAGCAGATGAAAAGGATTTAGGGGACTTGGCAGTGAATTCGCTGTGAGTAAAAGTGTGGAGCTGGCATGTGTGCGTGTGTGTGTGTGTGTGTGTGTGTGTGTGTGTGTGTGTGTGTGTGTGTGTGTGTGTGTGTGTGTGTGTGTGTGTGTGTGTGTGTGTGTGTGTGTGTGCGTGTGCGTGTGTCTTTCTCACCATCACGTAGTGTCTTTGGATCTCTGTCTTCTCTGTGGCCAGTTTCTCACACTCTAGTTTCAAACTGCAACAGAGAAGGACAGAAAACAAATTATTTGGGTTTGTCTCGTACCCCTAAATAAAAATACACAATGCAATTAGCGACATAACAAATCACTCCTCCAACACTCTCTTCCACCGCTCCCCGTTCCTCCTCCTCCTCCTCCATCACTCACAGGGGAGGGGGAGCGGGGTGACTGGAGTGCTGACAGCCCATTATCACCTCAGAGCAGAGCAGAAATAGACAAAGTCACGCTGAAGGCCTGAAATCCAGCCAAAAACTGCAGGGAGGAACATCCAAGGTGTCTCTCCCCTCCTCTCTCTGGACACTTTTCAGCTCATCCATCCACTGACCTTCTTTCTTATTTCACTGCTTTCCTAATTATCAGTCCGTCCTGTCTTTGTGTCTGTCCAATCCCCTTCTCCATCACTTCTGTCGCCACTATGAATGTTTGAATCACTGCTTCCTCTAACATTCGGGGGATCACGACTGCCTGTTGCTGGTGTCAGAAAAACAAAACAAAAGGCCTCTGATGTAATCAGCCAATCTCCCCTCCTGCACGTCCTGGAAAAGCAGACATATTCTCTCTCTCTTTTTATTAATTGCAGGCCCAAACCCAGAAACTGACTCTCTCCATCACCTCTCCAGAAATACACTCCGCTGCCCAACCTCTGACTGCTCGCTCCCTCCAAACCAATCTAGCACATTTCGGGCCTTTGGCAGTTTACACCAACTTGTTTGCAGGCTGCGGATAGATTGATTGGGGGAGCCGTGGTGAGGTGGGACACTGGGAGTGGGTGGAAGGAGGGTCGTTTGGTGGAGGAAAATTAGAATATGATTAATACCGCAACATTACCCCCAGCCGCAACAGGTAATAACGTCCCCATCCGCTCCTTTTCTCCAGCGCCGTGTGCACACACGCTCATAATTGACTCATTTATCATTGACAGCCAGTTGAACAGACGAGGGAGGAGAGGGAGGGAAGCAGGGAAGCAGGGAGAGGAGGAAGGTGGTGGGAGAAGAAATGTGGATTAAACCCCACACCCACACTATAGATTTTATTACGGTGGAATTGCCTCTCGGCGGAAGTCGCTCACAGCTGGGTGGAAAACTAATGCAGCTGTGTGAGCTGACGTGGAGTTACTGCTTTTTTTTTTAATTACAACGTAAACTTTGGGCGAGTTTGAGAAGAGGCACGACAACATACCCAGATTTAGACAAGAACACAAACATTTGTTCTGGATTTTATCTGAGCTGTAATGATGAATCGTTATTGTCTGCCACTAAACACAGAAAGACTGATGATGTTTTTGCCTGTGTATGCATTTTGTCCAGGATCTCATGACCCACCAAAATGGTTTTAATGAAACTTCCAGAAAGTAATCAATGGATGTTCATCTACAGCTTACGTCTAATGACAACTGATTGTCGTTGTAAATGAGAATGAGTTTTCTATCGACTCGTCTGGTTAAATGAATAAAAATAAAATAAAGCTGGAGCATATAGTATTAAATATTTACAGTAACTATAAATGTGACAATCTGACTGTGAAAATCTGTCATTATTTATATTTCCCCTGGTCTCTACAGCAAAATGAATCAATAAGCGTGTTTTCACTACCGGAACTCCCGGCATGCGTGTCTCCACTTCACTGGGCTGGCTGGACGGACCTGAACGGGGTAGGTACTCAGAAAGGCCCGACAGAAAAGCTGAGTGGAACCTTTGGTTACGTCACGCTGATTGGTGGCAGCTCAGTAGAAAATTACATCAGCAGACCTCATCCAAAATAACCGGCATTAGTAAAATAGAAGAATTGCTTGTGAAGTAGAATGGAAGCACAAACAAACAATCAAAGATTGCTCTGCTTTGATATTAAATTACTAAACTCCCAACACCAAAGAAACACGGCGGAATTCCCCCATGACGTAATTCACGGGGCTTTGTTGTCTCACAGAGCGCCGTAAAAAACTGAGCTTCTTATGGTCATCGAACACCACATTTTACATCGCACAGCTGCGTTCGTCCTGTGAATGCATTAAATGATGCTGTACCTCGACAGAATAAAACTTTTGTTTGCGTTACTTTAGACACTTTCTGGCACTGATCAGTGACTCACTGCCGAAGCAGTGGTGATATGCAGACATCTGTGCAAAGTCCTGAAAGGGCTGACTTTGTATGGAGACACAACAGCTGAGCGGACCGGTCATCTCATCTCCCAGTCAAGTTTCCCTGAAGCTCCGACAATGGAAACACGCCTATTTAGGTGAGCGTAGAGCTTTGACCAAAAGAGCTGCGTATGCCCAAGTGGGAGCTGTCAATCAACGAGAATGTGTCCCAGTTCTAAGCATGTCGGATTAGCACACCAACCTAGCTTGAATGCTACATCGACTTGCATTAAATTAATGTCAGTCTGTAAACGTCAAGCTAGCTGTGGAGGAGGAGAATGGAAATGTATTTCTTTTTTGTATTTTGAAGCTAAATGTTTAGTGTAGCGTTCAACCTTACGCTAGATGGGACTGTTGTTTTAGCTGGTTGTAGCGTTAGCAGAGGCGTACTACTATCTCGAGTGCCAGATTCCTGTCAGCTATGGATGTTTCCCTGCTGCTGATTTCTTTAAAATGAATGAAT